CGCCAAGGTGTGGGGCGAAGTGGGGCGATGGCTCGTCATCGCCCTCATCCAGCTAGCCAAGTAGGTCAGGGCTGCCGCGGGCGGCACGTGGGCGGGAGTGCCGCGGGCAGCTGCCCACGGGGTGCTCAGCCGCCGCCCCCCCCCGCCCCCGCCGGCTGGCACCTCCCCCCAGCCCTGCCGCACTCCCCCCCCTCCAGGGCTGTCCTGCGGATGCTCATGCTGATCTGGTTCAAGGCCGGCCTCCAGACCTCGCCCCCCATTGTTCCGCTGGACAGGGAGACCCAGGCCCAGGCTCCAGGTGAGCTGCATGGGACTGACGCGTGGGTTTAGAGCTGCCCGAGAAGCAGAACTTGAACTTGGGACTTTTTGATGCCGGAGTCCTCTTTATTTTGAGCGATTGACAGCCGAGGGGGCGGAGCATCCGCAGGAGACAGGAGTCTGGTTCTGGATCAGGGGCTGTGGCCTCCAGCGGGCCCCGGGCCCCGGGCCCATCCCTCGTCAGCCTCTGCGTCTCTTTTCTCCTGCCCTGGGGGGTGCAGCGCTGCCCTACCATGGCCCCTCCCTGCCCTGCTTCTGTCCCGGGGAAGCCGGGGGTCTTGGTTGCCTCTGACACAGAGGACAGTTCCACAAAGATTCCTCTGTGCTGTGTGCAATGCCGCGTGGGCCCCCCCGGTGCCGGCTGCCTGGGCTCCAGTGCGCCTGCTGTCGTGCGGCCCCGAGCGCTCGCCGCGCACAGGTTCTGCCCAGGCTCCGCTGGCAACGCGTCCTGCTCACTGCACGGCCTCCTGTCTGTCCCCGCCAGACGCTGACCATGGCCCTGGCGGCCAGGAGCAGTCCTACGTGGGGAAGCGGTCAAACCGAGTGGTGCGGACGCTGCAGAACAGTAAGTGGAGGATGGGAGCCAAGGTCAGCCTGGGCCTGCGGGGCTGGCTCCCGTCCGCGCCGCGCCGGCCCCGCTGCTCACCAGCCGCCCTTATCTTCCAGCCCCGGCCCTGCACGCCAGGCACTGGGGAGCGCCCCAGCAGCGGGAGGGGCGGCAGCAGCAGGTGGAGCCGAGCGTCCCCCCGACGCCGCTGGGGCTGCAGGAGACCATCGCCGAGTCCCTGTACATCGCCCGGCCCCTGCTGCACTGTATCCTTAGCCTGGGCGGGCCAGCGCTGTGGCGGCTGGGGACGGATGGGGAGTGGCCTGCCGCCTGTGCCGGAGACCTCCTTGACGCCTTGGCCGGCAGTGCTCAGCCTGGGCCTGTGGGGTCAGCGGTCGTGGACTCCCTGGCTGCTGGCCGGCGTTGTGGACGTGACCAGGTGAGCCTGGGTCTGCCTGCCGGCTCCTCCCGCCGCTGGTGCTGTGGACGTGCAGCCCTGACCGTGCCCTCCCCTGTCCCCGCGTCCCCCAGCCTGAGCCTCCTGAATGACAGAAAGGGCCTGAGCCGGAGGGAGCGGCTGGAGCTGCGGCGCCGCACCATCATGCTGCTCTACTACCTGCTGCGCTCGCCCTTCTACGACCGCTTCTCTGAGTAAGGCCCCGCCCCCCGCGAGGACAGGCCAGAGGGCGGGGCTCCTTCCCCGGTCCCGCCCTCCCCAGTCCACTGGCCAGGGCAGTCACCGGCGGCCAGCCAGGGGGACAGGAGGGCTTTTGGCGCTACAAGGAGGCCCCGGGGGCGGGGGCGCGCAGGCTCTTCCCCTGCAGGTAGTTACGTAGCCCCACCCCTCGGGGCTCGAGCCTCCACGAGCTACCAGGGCAACTGTGTGAGGTCAGACCTGGCCCTGAGCACGCAGTCCCTGCGCAGTGGCTGGGGCTGTGCCGCCGCCGAAGCTTCGGGAAGCACTTTGTCTCGGGCTTAGCCAGTGCTCGACTTAAAAACTGGAGCAGTGGCTGGCCTGGCGCTGGATGCCATGGCCGCCCAACCTCAGAAAATGGCTTTGTCTGGCAGCCCCTGCTGTGTTCAGAGAAGTTCGGAAGCTTACAAGGGATTAAAGCGAAATCCCGTCCACACTGGGAGAGAAGCGTTCCAGAGGCCTGCCGTGCGCGTGACCTCCCCGCAGATTGCTAGTGTTGAACAAGGACTCGGAGATGGCAGGGCCCAGCCCCCTCTCCCACTGCCGGCACCGGCCCTGCACCCCCGAGCGGGGGCCCTGTGCCGAGCAGGGCCCAGAGTCCGTGAGAAATGGCTTGTTTCCCAAGGACGGGTCCCAGCAGGCCTGCCGGGTGCAGTCAGACGGCCAGGCTCGTCCCGGGAGGCAGGCTGCCTTGTGCGTCTGTGACCTTGGGCGCTGTTTGACCGGCCGTGCCTCCGTTGCCCATCTGTGAGATGGGACAGTAACGTGCCCCCCGCCTAGGATTCGCGGCGAGGTTAAGGGGTGGTGCTGTGGTGTGAGGTCAGCATTTCTCTTAGTGTGGCCCGCACCGGCCTCATCCCACCCAGGATTCCTCCCTGGGAGACCCTCGTCTCTAGGGAGGGCCATGGCCCCGTGGCCCCAGCCACCCTCCGTGCTGGCTCCCAAGGCTGCTCAGTTCTGAGCCCGGGGGCTTCTGGCAGGCCGGCCAGGGTTCTGCTCCCCGCGACCCCTCCACCTCCTGCCCCAGGAAGCGTGTGTTGTCAGCGAAAGCCAGAGGTGTGGACACGGTGTCGGGTGCTCGGAGCCGCCTGCCAACCTGAGGCTGAGGTGGTGTTTTTTCTTTTAGGGAGGGGAGGCTTTTTTTAAAAAGCAATGGATAGATTGATTGATATAATCTAAAAGGCAGAGAGCGAGGGAGACTACCAGATCTTCCATCTGCTGATTCATCCCCCAGATGGCTGCAACAGCCAGGGCTGGGCCAGGCCGGAGCCAGGAGCTCCCTCCAGGTCTCCCACTCGGGTGGCCGAGGCCCAAGCACTTGCGCCATCTGCTGCCTTCCCAGGTGCGTTAGTGGGGAGCTGGATTGGAAGCAGAGCAGGCAGGACCTGAACCAGGCACTCTGATACAGGAGGCTGGTGTCACACGTGGTAGCTTAGCCCACTGTCCACAACGCTGGCCCCAAAGCTGAGCTGCTAAGCTCCCTGGGCCGTGGCTGGTGAAGGCCTTGCCCTTGTGTCTGGGGCCCCCAGCTTTGTCCAGCCACTGCTTGTCACCCCGCTGCACGGCCTTGAGTCCATGAAGGCTCTGGGCCTCCGTGCATGTAGGGGCCGCACGCAGCTCAGCCTGGCCTCTGTCTCGCCTCCCTTCAGGGCCAGGATCCTCTTCCTGCTCCAGCTGCTGACAGACCACGTCCCTGGCATCGGCCTGGTCGCAAGTAAGCCGTGCTGGGGGCTGTGATGGTCGCCCGCGCTGGGCGCCGTCTGCCTGCCTGCTCCTCCTCTTCACACCGATGCAGTGAGGAGAGGAGGCCAGAGGCAGGGCTGGGTGGGGGCCGTGCTGGGCGTGGGCCAGGCGACCCTGGAAGGGTGGGGTCCTACGGCAGGAGGGCGGGCAGGCTGCCTCAGTATGGGGGGGGGGCGGGGCAGCAGGGAAGGGCCCCCAGGCTGCCTGGCGACCCGCCCCAGCAGAGGACGACTTAGCTGCACCTGCTGCTTGGCTTTGCAGAGCCTGAGGGTCCCCGTCTGTAATGGGGACAGAGACCTCCCCGGCTGGGGTTGGCTCCAGGCACAGGGCGCGCAGGTGCGCCCCGAGGAGAGCGGCGCGCGGCGGGGCTGGGCCCTCAGCCCTCATCCTCTCTCCTTTTTTCAGGGCCACTCATGGACTACCTGCCCACCTGGCAGAAAATTTACTTCTACAGCTGGGGCTGACAGATCCCGGAAGTGGGGCCGGGGCTGCCGTCGGCCGGGGTGCCTCAGCCCTGCAGCGCCCGGGCCTCTTCCCCAATAAAACCGACTGTGGCAGCGTCCGAGCACGTGGCCTCTCTGTGCCCGCTGCCCAGGGCACCAGGCCCCTCCCCTGCCGCAGCCGGCCTCTGCACGCAGCCCTGGTCGCCACCAGCATTGCTCAGTCCCTCCTGACCCCGCCTGCACTCTGGTGGTGGAGCCACCGCGGCCGGGCCGTGTCGCTGGGCCGGGAACCTGCAGTTTAACCTCTTCGGGCATGAGGTGCTCGCCACAGCAGCTGCGGGAGTACAGACTTCGCACTGGGCCCTGCGCAGACAGGGCTGCCCCGGCTGCCCGCTGTGGAGCCTGGTGTGTGGTCAGCCACAGTGGCCCTTTAAGGCCCGGGTCCCCAGCTCACAGGGAAAGGGTGGCCGGGGCCAGTGTGGGTGCGGGAAAGCCGGGTGCAGAACAGGGGCCCGGACCTGGCGTCTCAGAACTTCCCTGCTGGCTCCGTGGGCTGCTGAGAGGGGCGCGGCCTGGCCCGGGGCTCACGGGTGGAAGAACCAACTGCTGGAGGCCTGAGCCAGCGCACGGGCGTCTGTGTTTCTGAAGGGCTCTGGCTGCACGTGTGTCCTCCGTGGGCGGGGCGGGGCGGCCGGGCGGGCAGGATCCGAGCTCCTGCTCCCGCGACCTCCGGCTTAGCTGGGGAGGCAGTCTGCACACGTGCTGCAGTCAGGTGAGCGAGGCCTAATTCCCGCCCCGAGCTCTTGCTGATCGATGGCGACATCTGCACACCGGGCCCAGGGCTGCTGCAGCCACGCCAAGTGTGCAGAAGGCAGCGGAGGAGGTGAGCAAAGCCTTTGACCAGGCCTGCGCTTGCTGGAAGTGCCCATCAAAACTTGGCTGGGCCGCGGGGCCAGTGTCGCAACGCCGCGTGGAGCAGCAGACTGGGAGGCTGGAGAGGCAGGCTCAGACCCGACTGCTCACTCCAACTGGGGCAGGAAGCCACTGTGTCTTAGGAAAAACCATGCATGGATCTCAGAACACTGCACCGAAATAAAAATCCTTTAATTCCAAGTTCTCGAGGTGCCCTCATACGGGAGGCAGTGGGCAAGGGCTCTGTGAGGTTTCAGCAGCCTTGTGGAGGATGGCTTGGTCGGCAGAGACCAGTGGTAGCCCCAGCAGGCCTGGGCACACGTACAGGATGGCAGGTTCCTGGTGGGGACCCAGGAGCTGGGCCAGGGAGGTGGCCACTGGGACGTCAGCATGTACACTTCAGGGCACGGGCCAGGGGACTGAGCTGAAGGAAAGGCCACAGCCCCTCAGGGCCGCTCGGGACCAGGACCGGGGCTGCCAACAGGCCGCCTCCCTTCTGGGCCTTGGAGGCCTCAGCAGTTGGAGGAGAGGGGCCGGGCCGGGCTGGGCCAGGGTTTGATCCAGCAGGGAAGACGCCTGAACCCCTAGCAGGAGTGCCTGGGTTTGAGTCCCGACTCCATTCCCACTCTCAGCTTCCAGCCACTGACCGGCCTGGGAGAGGCAGCAGACGATGGCTCCAGTGAGGCGGATCGCACCCAGTTCTCGGCTCCTGGTGTGGCCCAGCCTCGCCCCTGCCGTTGTGGGCATCTGGGAAGGAACCAGATGAGAGCGGTCTCAAATTAAAAAAGGTGGGGGGGGGGGCCACAGCAGACCTGCAGAGGCGAAGGGGCTCCCAAGGCTAGAGCTGCAGTTCTGACAGCACAGATCCGGAGTGCGCCCACGCAGTTTGTTTCCAGCTTTTTATTTTACATACTCGAAAGGCAGAAAGAGCTGCAGTCCACCTGTTCACGCCCCAAGTGCCTGCCACAGCCCAGGAGCTCCACCCCGGTCTCCCTGTGGGTGGCGGGGACCCGACCACGTGAGCCGTCAGTGCTGCCTCCCAGGGTGCACATCAGCAGGGAGCCGGCACCAGGGTCAAGGGCAGGCCCTCCAGCAGGGAACGCGGGCGTCCCGGCAGTGTCCAGCGCTGTGCCGCATGTCCGCCGGGGACACTCCAGGAGCGGGCTGCCGTGCACCTTCCAGTGGGGCCTCGGGCCTGCGAGAGGATCACCTCCAGTGTCCCACGTCGCCATCTGTCCACCGAGCACCCACTGGGTGTCAAGGGCCGGGGAGTCCACAGTGAACCAGGCCGTGCCTGCTCTCGTCTTCTTGGGGGGCAGGTCCGGGAAACCCTCTTTCTAGCCTTGGGTCGGGGCGAGGCCCACGGAGCTCCAAGGTCCGGGGGTCCTGAGCTGCAGAAGACGCAGTGGGAAGGGGCCCTGGAGAGTGCGACGCGTGCAGCCGATGCAGCCCCGTCTGGTGGACTGCGCAGCTCGGGCGGCTGAGCCAGCAGGACCTCCACGGGGACGGTGATGGGGGCAGGGGGGAGGCGGCCCAGTGGATGGCGGTGGCCCTGGGTGTGAGCACGCAGTGACCTCTGCTGAAGGCCTGCCGTGTGCCAGACCGCGCTGCGTCTGCACGCTGCCCCCCAGCCAGACACGGAGCTAGACACAGATGAAGGGGCGTGTCCATCAGCAAGGGACAAGGTCAGGATCTGAGCTGAAATGCGACTCAGAGGCCCGTGCCCTCAACCCGGGGACGAGGTCTGGTTGGGCACGTGCCGGCCTCCAGCACCAGTCAAGCCAGCCAACCCTGAACCTCACCCGGCGGTGCTGACGCCCAGCCCTGGAACCATGGCCCTTTGTGAGGTGGCCCTGGGGGTGGGGGTGGGGGGTGTTCCATCGCAGTGCAGGGGAGGGAGCCGTGGAGGAGATGGCGCTCGCCATGCTGGGGGCTCTGTACCCCAGGGGCGAGCGTGAACTTCTTTATATTATAATAACAGCCTGGGGACCACAATGATACCCACCCAGCTACTTAAGTAACCCACGAAGGCCCCCCCCCTCCAGGGGAGGCTGGCGCTGGATCCCGCCCTTGCACGGGGCTGAGCCCCTGCCCCACTCCCCCCCGCAGGTCTCTGCGCTCTGTTCCTGAGGAGTTCTCGGCACCCCTGGAACTGCCACAGCCACTCTCCGGCCTGGTGGATGGTAGTGTCTACCCCCCCCCCCCGCCTCCCCCACGCCCAGCCGCGCCTGGAGGGGACTGCAGCCCCCACCCACACCCTCTTCTCTCTTTAGACTACGGAATCCGACCCAAGCACCCCTGGCCCCGGGGGCCGCGGCCCCTGCTCTCGCGGGCCCAGCAGCGCAAGCGGGATGGGCCCGACATGGCCGAGTACTACTACGACGCCCCCCTGTGACGTGAAGCCCCCATAAAGCTGTTCTGTGTGGCAGGCGCGCGGCTCTCCTGGCTGTGGGCCCGCGGGCAGGGGGGCGGTCCGCGCACACATACCCGCCTTGGGCCGGACAGGAAATGGCACTTTAATAGTCGTGGCCAGGGCAACAGGACCGAGACGGGACTCTGGGCCAGGCAGGAGGCCTCCCTCTGCCAGGCAGGCCCCCGCGGCAGCTCCCCTAAGCCTGCCAGGGGCCCGCCCGCCGGGGAGGCTGCAGGTGGCAGCTGGCGGGAGGCGCTGTGGGCCACAGAGCTGCCGGCAGGGACTGCACCTCCACCTGGGGCCACTGGCACACTGCAAAGTCCTTGGGAGGTGACTGGGCCCAGCCTGAGCTCGGGCTCCTCCGGGGGGCACTGTGGACAGAGGGGAGGGTGGGCACTTGCCGGTGACACGCCTTCGTCGGGGCGGGAGCCAAGAGCCCCGGTAGGGGCAGGCAGCACAGGTTGCGGCCAAGCCTCCACTCCTTCCCCGGTCCCCCTTCCCGCGGGAGGCCTGGCCCTGCTCCAGCCGGGCCGGCTCCCAATCCCCGGGCAGCCCGCTCTGCCCTCTCCGGGGATGGATCTAGCCCCCTATGTTACAGCACACTGCACCTGGCGCTCCCCAGGACCCCGCCCGCCCCACCCCGGGCCACAGGCCCCACTTCCCCGTCTGCCCTCCGGTGGTGGCAGGGGCCCCTGGGCGAGCAGCGCCATGGCCCGGGGTGCCGCTACTCCAGGTAGATGTCCTCTGTGGGGCAGGTGTACTCCACAAACTGCTTGTAGAACTGCTGGAAGGCTCTCCTGGAAGGCAGAGACACGCGTGACAGAGGCGGGCTGTGGGGGGTGGGATGGGGCTCCACCCAGGGTTTCCACGTCAGAGCCTCGGGGCTCCAGGCTGGGGCTCTGGCCCCTGCAGCCCAAGGCGCTCCCCCTGTTCACTCCGGAGCGGCAGCTCCCAAGGAAGATGGCAACCACAGGGAAGGGCCTGTGCTCACGAGCGTGGGCCCACTCCTCGGGACCCCAGGGCAGCTCTGGGCCCCACGCCTGCGGCTTGCTCCCCGGGCTGGGTGCTGGCGGGAAACGCACTCCTACGTACCCCACGGACTCTGCCAGGGCTTTGGTGGAATCTTCGGACACAAAGACGTGGCAGGCAAACCGGTGGTCAGCCGGGTGCTTGGTGATGAACCCGAAGTACCTGCGGGAGGAGGGGTGCGGCTGCGGTGCGGTGGACTGGGCCCCGCCCCGCCCACAGTGGCTCCAGACCGCGCCCAGTGCCCCGAGCCCCGCCCCGCCCCTCTTACTTGTTGTTCTTTGGGTGGTATCCACAGAAAGAGATGTTCTTTAACTGGAAAAAGTGGCTGCACTTATTTCCCTGTAGGAGAAAGAAGCAGGGGGCAGTCACCCAGCGCCCAGGGGTGCAGGCTGGCGGGAGGCGTGCAGCTGCTCACGGGCAATCTGGGGGGAGGGAGGGCCGGGTCAGGGAAGTCACCTTGGCCTCCGGGGAGTCGTCAGCCTTCACGCCTATCTTGACACCCCGCACGCTGATCTCTAGCACGCAGCTGGAGGGCGGGTTCAAGTGCACGGTGAGCCGGCGGGTTGTGGCAATCTGTGGGTCAGAGACGGGGACAGTCAGCGCCATGTGTCCACTTCTCTGCCCATCTCTCCTGTCCCGGACCCTGGGCCCCGAGCCCCGAAGCCTTCCCTGCCTCTGGACACCTGGGTCCCTCTCCCCAGAGAGACACGGGCTGGACTGGGAGCGGGGAGTGGGGGCCCGGTACCTTTTGCATAGCAGCACAGAGGACGTCATTGCCCTTGTGGTAGGGAACCTGGACGGAGCCCAAGAACTTGACCCGGAACTGGTCCACCCAGTCGCTGTTTTTGGCCAGGGCTGGAAAGCAAGCGTGAAGTGAGCCCCAGCAGAGGCAGGCAAGCCGAGGAGGGCGCGCGAGGCAGAGGAGCGGCAGGGCCAGCAGGGGGAGCCACATCCCACTTCCGGCATGTGGCTGGAAGTGGCCGGAAGTCGGGTTTGGCTGGGCGGGATCTGCAATGGCCCCTGCACGACAGCCCGCCGAGAGCTGGAGCACAGGGCAGCCAGGAGGCGCAACGCTACCTGCCATGTGCTCGGGCTCCTTGGTGACCTCGATGGCGTAGTAGGCGGGGAAGACGCCCCGGGCGCCGGTGCGCATGTTGTAGGCCTCGTACCAGTAGTCCTCGGCCTGCAGCTCCACCAGCAGGGGGTCGTCCACCTCCAGCTCCAGCTCGTCTTCGTGCCGCGGCACAAACCTGGCCGGGCAGAACTCCTCAGCGGGGCCTCCCGGCCGGGCCCTCCCCAGGACTGTGTCCTTAGCTCAGCCAACACCTGCAAAGCAGCGCGGGTGCCGGCCCAACGCCAGCCGGGGAGCAGGGGGCAGCGTCCATCAGGCGCCCGCCATCAAGGGCAGGACATGGGCGGAGCCCTGCAGAGGCGGAGAGGCCAGGGTACCCGGGCCCTTCGGTCTGCGGGAGGCTTGGGCGGGCGCAGGGTGGCTTCTGTGTGTGTAGGCGCAGCCTCGGGCTCCCACGCACCACGGCCCTTTGCCACCCTGCTCTGCATGCCCAGAGGTTGAACACAGGGGCCCAGGGCAGAGTGGACGAAGCCTTGCCCCGGGCTGAGGGTGCTCACCTGAATATGGCCCGGTGCGTCTGCTCCTGCTCCACCCCGTTGATGACACAGGAGAACAGCCCGAAAGACTCTGCACCTGAGGAGGGGCAGGGGGCGGGAGGATGTGGCCCCAGCTCCGGGGGAGGGGCAGGGGGCGGGAGGATGTGGCCCCAGCTCCGGGGGAGGGGCAGGGGGTGGGAGGATGTGGCCCCAGCTCCGGGGGAGGGGCAGGGGGTGGGAGGATGTGGCCCCAGCTGGGGGGGGGCAGGGGGCGGGAGGATGTGGCCCCAGCTCCGGGGGAGGGGCAGGGGGTGGGAGGATGTGGCCCCAGCTGGGGGGGGCAGGGGGCGGGAGGATGTGGCCCCAGCTCCGGGGGAGGGGCAGGGGCAGGGGCAGGAGGATGTGGCCCCAGCTCCAGGGGAGGGGCAGGGGGAGAGCCCCGGCCAGGTCGACTCACTGGAGGAGCGGGAGCGGCCGCTCATGAAGACGTTCAGGAACTTCTTGGAGAAGTGGACGTCCTCCTCGGGGCTGGAGTCCTCCGAGAGGCAGGCCGGGGGCCGCGGCCGGGGCGCCTCCTCGTACTCCTCGCCGATGGCCGACTCGTAGGGCGACGAGGCCGAGGCGCAGTTGTCGTAGACGGTGGCGGAGTCGCTCTCGTCGCTGTAGTCGCCGAAGCACGGCCGCAGGCTCACCAGCTCCAGCTGGGCGTGCTCGTCCACCACCAGCGTGTACTTGACCGAGTCGTAGGACAGGGCGCTGGTGTCCGAGCTCAGCGAGGCCCGCGGCGGCGGCGGCGGCGGCTCCCCCAGGCTCGCCCGCCAGCCTCCCGCCGGCGGCCCGGCCCGCTCCGGGGAGGACAGGCAGTCGAAGCCCTCGTCCTCTTCGCTGATGGAGGGGTGTGGCCGGCCCAGGGTGGAGGGGTAGGCGGCGGGGTCTGGGTCGGAGCTGACCGACATGCGGCTCTCGGCCGGCGGCAGGAAGCCGGCGCTGGGCTCCGCGGGGTCTGGGGGCCTCTGCACCGGGGTCAGGTAGATCTCCTCCGTGGCCTCCAGCCGCACGTCGGCCTGGTAGTGGATGCGCTCTCGATGGGAGTGGCCCCGGCCCCCAGGGGCGGCCGTGGGGGGGGCGCCAGCAGGGGCCATCTGGGTGGCAGCGCTGCGGCGACAAGGGCTGTCGGTGGAGGTGCCTCGGTCCTTGGTGGGCGCGGGGCTGCCCTGGGGGGGCAGCTCGTCGCTCAGGCAGATGTGGTCATGGGGGGGCGTCTGCTCTCCTGCAGGGCAGGGTGGAGGTGGGGGGGCAGTGCTGAGCCGGGCTGCCTTCACCTGGGCCCCCCACCCCGGTCCCTGCTCCATGCACCAGGGCCCCGGGCAGGCTCTGGGTCCGCAGCCCAGGCCTTGGTGGACCCCCATGGGCAAGGTGGGGGCCCTGCAGGGGCGACTCGGGGCGGGCTGAGGCCCAGGTGTGGGGGGGTCTGCCTCACCTGTCTTCAGGGGTGAGGACGAGCGGGACACGCGCTCCTGCCAGCTGTGCTTTTTCCCGAGAGAGTTATTATTCAGTGTGTCCTGGGCAGCGAACAAAGGGCCCTTGTGAGAGAGGCGGTCAGCAGTGCCCGGCACAGGGAGGCCCTGGCCCTGCCCCCACAGGGCCCCCCCAGGCTGCTCGCTGCCCCCACCCTGCCCTGCAGCAGGCAGCAGGGGTGAGGGGTGGCCAGGGAAGTGTCAGCCTGGGCAAAGGTGGTGCTGGTTGGCTGCGGGGTGGGGGGTGAGGAGGGGGAGTCTGCAGCAGACTCAGGACCCCCACGTGAGATGCCCAGGGCAGTGGGGGGGCAGCGTGACTCCCATCCTGGAAGGGGCAGGGCCGGTCTGGCCCAGCCTGGGTAGAAAGCAGTGAGGTACCCTGGGAGCCTGCGGTGACACTCAGATGGCTCCGGGGCACTGTCTCCCCTGGCCCCCAGACCAGGGGCCCAGCCCGCGGGGGCGACAGGCATGGCTGGCAGCAGACCCCTTCCCGGATCTCCCGGCTGCTTGCCCACATCCGCAGCACCTCCCCAGCCCGGCCCCCACAACGCCCACATACAAGTCTCCTTCGCACCTTACACCACGAGCTGGGCTACCAGAGGATCCAGGGAGAGGGACCCCGTTTCTCTGCAGCCCCCGCCCATCCCCTGGCAGCTCCCCCTCCCTGGGTCCCCTCCTTACCTCTCCTGACTGGACCCGGGAGACAAAGGGCCTGGCCAGCGCTCCCCACCCTATTCAACTCTCCTTGGCTTCCGGCCAGCAGCCCAGGGGCCCCAGGCCCCCAGCTCAGCTGAGCAGCGCCATCCCACAGGCCTCCCCCCTGCCTCTGGGAAGTCCAGGCTGCCCACACTTCAGACGCCA